CCTGCGCCCAAAAAAAAAAAAAAAAAAAAAAAAAGAAAGAAAAGAAAAGAAAAGAAAAGAAAAAAGGTTAGGAGTAAGAAAAGGGTCCCCCATGTAAAACTTAAATGAAAAATCCTCATAAAGTTCAATAAAAAATTCCTATTAAAACTTTTGGATTCCTTTTATAACTTGAAACATATGAAGACATCCCATAAATAAATAAATATATAAATTTGGGGCAAAGTAGTGTTATTAGCCTGCCATAATACCTAGTGAAATATTTTATTGTAAAAAATCTTTCTTGTTAGAAACAGAAAAGAAGAAGAAATATTTGAAGAACGCTTTATTGTTTTCTTGAATAATACTATATGTACAATAATCTATACATAGGTGTTTACAAAGAGAATATTCAAAGGTATAAAATATTTACAATAAGTGTGAAATTATTGTGTTCATATCTTAACATCTCCCCTCAAACTCAAGGTGGTTGTGATGAAACCAACTTCAGTTTGGAAAGATGAGTGCAAAAGCGTTTAGGAAAATGAGCCTTAGTGAAAAGATCTGTTGGTTGATCAGCAGAGCTAATGAAAACCAAATGAACAGTTTCTTGTGCGATATGATGGTGAACAAAGTGACAGTTAATCTCAATGTGTTTAGTGCGTTCATGGAAAACATCATTGTGAGCAATCTACATGGCACTCTAATTGTCACAATAAAGATTAGTAGCAGACGACTGAGGAACACCTATATCTTCTAGTAGCCAACGTAAATTAAGCAACTCTGATGTGGTGTCTCCAAGTGCTCGATATTTGGCCTCTATGCTAGAATGTGATGGAATTGTTTGCTTCTTACTACGCTAAAAATTAAGGAATCACCAAGAAAAAGATCATATCCAGTGGTTGATTTACGATCATTAGAGTTTCCAGCCCAATCAGCATCAGAGTAAGCACAAAGTTCAAGAGATGAATGAGTAGAAAAGTGAAGTTCATGAAAAATAGTACTTTTAATATAGTGAATAATGCAAAGTACTGCTGCATAGTTAGTGGAGTAAGGTGTAGCCATAAACTGGCTAACAACATGAACTACATAAGCTATGTCTGGTCATGTTGTAGTGAGATAAATTAAACTTTCGACCAACTATCTGTAGTGAGTAGTATCAACTAATGGAGAACTATCCATGAGTGTAAGTCAAACATTTGACTCAAGAGGAGTAGATGCAGTCTTATTGTAAGTGAGTCTAGCTTTAGATATAAGATCAGAAGCACCTTTTTTGTTTAGGAGAGACAATAAACATCATCAAAAAAGGTAACTTCAAGTCTCAAGAAATAGCTCAAAACACCAAAATCTTTCATCTCAAACTTATGACTGAGAAATTGCTTAAGATCGTGAATACCTGAAATATCATCCCTAGTAATGGTCATATCATCAACATAAAGAAGTAGTAGAATCATACCATTATTAGTCTTGTGTATGAACAGCGCCATATCATGAGGACTAGAAGTAAAACCAAATTCACTGATAGTCGTACTAAACTTGGCAAACCAAGCTTAAGGTGCTTGCTTCAAACCATAAAAAGCTCACTTCAATTGGCAAACTCTGTTTGGAGGATGCTCAATTTTAGGAGGTGGTTTCATGTAACCTTCCTCTGCAAGATCACCATTTAGAAAGGCATTTTTCACATTCATCTGAAACAATTTCCATCCTTTTGCAATAGCAATAGAAATCAAACTACAAACTAAAGTAGGACGAGCAACAGGTGCAAAGGTTTCTTCATAATCAATCCTATATACCTGAGTAAATCCTTTAGCAACTAAATGAGCCTTGTAACGCTCCATGAAACCATCAGACTGAGTTTTGATCTTGTACACCCATTTACAACCTACTAAAGGCTTTCCAGTGGGAAGATCAACTAAATCCCACGTACGAGTTTTCTCAAGAGCTTGTAATTCATCTTGCATAGCTTACTACCAAAGAGGGTTAGAAAAGGCCTCTTGATAGGATTGAGGCCCATGTAAAGAGGCAATAGTAGGAAAGCAATGATAATCACAAAGATAATTAGGAGGATTTCTTACCTAAGTAGGATGACTTAAAGGTGGATTAAGAATCTCATTTTCAAGCTCAATATCAATAGGTTTAGATTTAACAAGTGATACAAAAGAGGTAAAGGAAGAAGACTCACCATTGTCTAATGCATTACCAACAGGCAAAACATCTTTTATAGAACTAGGTGGAGCATGTGGAGAGGCATTATGGAGTTCATCAAATGTATCTGCATTTGAATCACTAGGAAATAGCTCAATAGAAGGGTTAGTAAAAAGTGGAGGTTGATTAAAAGATGACAATTGGAATTTTGATAACGAGGAAAACATAGTGTATTCCCAAAAGAAAACATGATGTGATACTTGAAGTTTTTGTCACACAGAATCCCAACAACGATATCCTTTATGTGTAATCCCATAACCCAAAAACAACATAATCAAACTTTAAGCTCTAGCTTGTTATGTTTATGAGGTGGAAGAAGAACAAAAGAAGCACAACCAAAAACCTTGAGAAGATCATAGGTAAGAGGAATACCATGCAAACATTCATATGGAGACTTATTATCAATGATTGAGGATGCAATTCGATTAATGAGATAAACAGTTGTAAGAGCAACTTCACCCCAAAATCGCTTTGGACAAGAAGATGAAATGAGCAGAGCATGAACAAAATCAAGAATGTGTCTGTGTTTACGTTTGGCTCACCCATTCTATTCAAAGGTGTAAGGATAAGATTGTTGTGTCAGTGTATTTTGTTCTTTAAGAAAAGATTGAAGTTTAGTAGTAAGATATTTAGTGGCATTATCAATTCTTAAAGCTTTGATAATTTTAGAGAATTGAGTTTTGACCATGGTGGCAAAATCAATATAAATTTGTGATAACTTAGAGGGATTTTTCATAAGATATATCTAGGTAAAACGAGTATGATCATCAATAAATAACACAAAGTACTTGGAACCCCCTATGGTAGGTGTCGGAGATGGACCCCAAACATTAGAATGCACGAGATAAAAAAAAGCAATAGGAAGAGAATGACTACTAGAAAAAGATAAAGCTAGTTGTTTTGCAAATTGACATGAGGCACAATGCAAGAATTCATTTGGAACATATCCTAATAAATCACGAGAGATAAAAGGACAAAGTTTACCGATTGAGGTGTGTCCGAGCCATGAATGCCACAAATGAAGAGGAGAAATGTTAGTAGTAGTACAAGCATGGAAGATATGTTGATACAGAATTTACATAGACTCTATTTCAAGACACAAGGCAAGGTTTGTATGAATCAATCATTTGGAAATGATGGTATATCCATTTTATGATCAGGAATATGCGGATAATTGAGTTTAAACATACGCCCCACCTTACAATTAGTTCCAAGAACTTGTCCTATCTATGGGTCCTACACATGACAACCATGAGCAAAAAATGTTACTTCAAGATCAAGATCACATAATTGACTAATAGATAAAAGATTATAACTAAGTTTTGGAACAAAAAGAGCGTTTGGTAAAGTCAAAGACTTTGTAGAAATATTGCCAATGCGACTAACATTCATAGGAGAGCCATCAGCAAAATAAATGTCCGAAAAGGAATTATTTGATGTCATTGAAGAGAAATGAGCAATAGTTGAAGACATGTGATTACAACAACTAAAATCAAAATACCAAAGTTTAGTACCTGGAGTTGTAGACAAGCAGTAGGAACATTAAAAAAATTTAATATGACCTATTTTAGAGATTCAAGGTTGACAATAGGTTGGTTTATCACTTCTTTGGCAACCATTGCAGCAGCATGATGAGTCATAGTTCTTTCAAAATTCGTTATAGAATCAGTAGAACTCACAATATTAAAAAATCTCTAAAAATACGAAGAAATAAATGTCAAAATCGAAATAACAAGTTAACAAAATACCTCAGAATGGGCTTGAGAACTAAGAATAAACAATCCAATCTGCAAGAGAAGGAACTCAACAACAAAGTTTTATATTTGGAATGAATTTGGAAATCCAAATCAAAAACCAAGTAGTGAGCTCTGATACCAATCATACCATGTTAGAAACAGAAAAGAAGAAGAAATATTTGAAAAAAAGTTTATTACTTT